GTTCAAGAAAAACATAATCAAGCTTAAACTTATTGTAGGATACATGAACAAAGATTGTTATATCAACAGATTCTAACGTATCATCTTAGTGGTGATCTCTGAAATTATAGTATATATATATTATCAGAAAGATACGTATTTAAGAAAAAGTCTCTAAAGTATAATTACACAATAGATTAATTGAAAGTAGAAAATATTAAATTGATTTGATATGATATGAATTGTTGTAAGTAATCCTGTCATAAAAAAAGAAGCATAAGAATAATGACATTTCTAAATAATGAATAGTTTTATCCAAAAATGATACAAAAAAGAATATTTTAATAAATACATCATCATATACAATGTAAAGAAAACGAAATATGGTAATATAGTCAAGAAATCTGAATAATCTTTATTCATCTATTAAAAGAATTCTTAAAAATTAAATCTAATGAAAAAGAAACAGATATTAAAAACTTCAACTCCTTCTTTAATAGTTTCTAATTTCAATTCACCCACAATATTCTCCAAATAATCTTTTCAATGCAATAATTTTTTGAAATCAATTGAAGATTAAGTTATTAATACTATGCTATTAAGAAGTAAATTGATTCTCAACTTAAGAATAACTTAATTTAAATAATATTATTGATTAATCTTCTATAATTTTAGGATTCTTTTCCTTCTATGAATTTGACTGATATCTAAAATTGAGGTAAATTTTAAATCTTTATAATATTTAATGAGGATACTTATCAGATGAAAAAAGTGATATTTAAATATCAATTGATTAACTGAATCATTGATAATCTGATAATTAAAAAATTTGATTTCCACAGCAAAGAGTACGCATATATTTGTGTTTTTATCTTCGGCTATTTAAATCTTTGATTTTATTTAGCAACCAACAATTGTATTGGTTTGTATTATGATGATCCTAATATTTTTCATCAAGATAGACAAAATTAAACTCCTCAAATCTTTAACTAACTAATTAGCAAATCGATATTTTTTTTACATTTTTTAATGGGAATTTATAACCTGCATCAAAATTATTTTTTATCTAATTTGAAATCTCCTCATTCATAATTCAAATTAAGAAAATTTAAACTGTTTTAGGAATTTTTTAATTCAATATGTATTCTATTTATTTTGGAAAAATTTTATTATTAAATTTTTCCTCTTTATTATCCAATATATATTATCCAATATATATATATAAGAATATTGATGCATTTAAAAATAGTATTGCATGATTTATAAATTTAATATGAATAAAATCACTAAAACAAACGGACTTTGTGATAAGATCATTGAAAATTTTCGTATGAAATTAAATGCTTTGATTTTATGAAAATATAAGTTTTTATAAAACTTTTGGTTATCGTATTTAAGAGTCTGAATTAAATT